AGAGAGAATAGAAGAAAGGCAACGGTAAAAAAAAAAAAAAGAAACACACAAAATTAAGAAAACAAAAGGAAAAATAAATAAAAAGAAAACGTGAAGGGAGGAGAAAAATCTAGGGAACTGCTGCTCCAATAAGATAGCAAGCTCAGAAAAAAAGCACAGAAAGACTGAGGCTGAGACCGAGACCGTAGATAAGAAGACACAGATTGACAGAAAAATAAAGAAGTAGATGTGAATATAGGTCTTCAGAGTGGTCGCGCGCGCGCAAGGTGTGTGTGTGTGTGTGTGTGTGTGTGTGTGTGTGTGTGTGTGTGTGTGTGAGAGAGAGAGAGAGAGAGAGAGAGAGAGAGAGAGAGAGCACCTATTTTCAATGGTTGATCTAACTGATATTCCCATGGCATCAGTCAGCAAGTACAACACGCGGGTCTCGTTAGCCGGCCCTAGTACCAGATCTTTTCCACGCTTTTGTTCTTCGTGGATTCTATTGCGAGGAGTTTTTTCTTTTGCTCCAAGATAAAGGAACGGTTTTGGAAAGGTACTGATCACTGACAGAAGAAAACCGTGGGAAAGTAGGAGTCCCTACCAAACAACGTGAGCTAGATTGTGCAAACAGTCATCGAAATTCAGGAGAGTGCCCCCTCCCCTCTCCTCCTCTAGACATGCACAGAAATGACAGTACAAAGAGAACAGACATAAATAGAAACAAACAAAGGATATAAACAATGATTTCATACAATGTTTTTAACTCCAGCTTCAAGACATAGTATAGGCAATATGACATGCTCTTTACTCCAGCCCTCCCCAGGGGGAACTACGCAGCATATTTTCTTCTTCTCTAACGTCACTGAAAAGAAACTCAAACATAAGCAAAAACAAAATAGAATCCCCCTCCCAAATCCATACGCGCACCACAGTATTCTTAAAAAGAGAACCCCAAAACAAGAAGCAACCTTACTCAAGTCTGTGATAAATCGACACCCCAACCTTGGTGTACACGAGCGAGCGTGTGCATGCAGGCAGTAGCATCGGCCCTCGGTCTCCCAACCTCACTCCAGTTTGCCCCACACACAAGCTAGCACGCACAACTTTTACTGGTCGGCCCAAACAGATGGGCGGCGCCGGATAACGCATAACCCCAACGACCCCTCGCATGTTTTGATTCTTTTTTCTTAGATTTTTATATCTCCTCAAAAATCGTTTTCTTCTTTTTTCGTGTTCAATCTTAGGGTTGGAGGAATGTGAGAAAAACAAATAAGGCTGAAGGGGGTGAGCAAAACACAAACACTCCGAGCAGACTGTCAGTGTTGTACGTGCGAGCGAGCGAGCGAGCAAGCGAGTTTTATTTGAGTCATAAAGAAGCATATGGAAAGAATATTGGTCTAAGAGAGTGGGAAGACGCGAGGCAACATACAGAAACATCCGAGAGATTGGAAAACAAGCAGGATCTAACAACGGCGCCTTCAAGAAACTCAGCAGACGTAAGAAAGCAAGCTAAAATCAAGTATATTCACCCTCCCCCCCTTCCCCAATCCTTCCCCCTCAACACACAAGTCCACCAAAAATACAATTATTTCACCAGTGTAAACAATACACCACCAAAAGCTCCACTCGAAAAATCTCATTATCCAGACAAACCCGGAGGAAGGAGCGGTGAATTTTCGCTTTCTCAGGAATGCCCTCACCAATCTTGACTCAAGAAACCCAGAACAAGAGATAGAAATTCGCCTCGCCTGAGGCTGACACAGTGTCCCTAACGTTACTTAAACTGGCACTGATGACAGCCGAACAGAGGGTGACTCAAACGAACTAAGGATTTCCCGACAGCGTTAAGTCATACCCTGACCTAAAAAGGCAAAAGTGCTAGTGTTTCCTTTAAAATTAAGTTTTCGCTTACTATTACAGAGTTCAGTTTATCTCGAAGGCAAAGCACTTGGAAGCCCTCGAGGCCATTGCTTTTAAAAGGTCACCCCCCCCCCCCAAAAAAAAAGAAAAAATAAATAAAAAGAAAACGTGAAGGGAACGTCAACAACGCCAAAAAAAAAAAAAGTAAGAACCAAAGCATTTGGAAGCCAGTGGGACCTAAAAACCGAAACTTTATTGTTTAAGTTGAAGAAAAAAAACAGTCAACCAACAGCACTCCAAGAGCCG